CAGTTATTTGAGCAAATTTTTTGTAGTTGAACAATTTAAGGGGGGAAGATGAATTACTCTTAATAATTATAATAACATTAGCAATGTTAATTAATTCATCTACATTCAAATACCGGTATCCTCCTCAACTCCCAGAAAATCAATTCAACAACTTGACTTGAGGCCTAAACATAATCATAGTATCAAAAGTATTTATTGCAACCATTGCAACTGTCCGCTCCTCTTTGACCGATTGAAAACATAAATTATCAACAACCACAGATAGGCCTAGTTCAGTGCTAAGGTAAGGGATTCACAGTCTGGAGGTCCCGGGTTCAAGACCCGCTGGGAAAGATAATTTTGATTCTAGTTTTTTCTCAAAATTTGTTTTTATGAACTATTTAATCAAAATGCTCAACTGATATATATGCATTTCACACAAAATCTTTATTATTTCGTGTTTAGGATATGCCCATGGGATGGCTGGTCTATGTAAAAACAATTTTCAACTTGTTGCAAAGTCAATTTTAAAATTGTTGTTAAAACAGTTTTTAAATTGTTGTAAAACTGTTGCAATATAGTTGTAAAACTATTTTTGAAATATTTTAAATTTTGCCGGTTGTCAACTATACTCATATTAATAACAGTTTTAATATAAGTTTAAAATTGATATTAAAACAATTTTTTTCTCGTTTTTCTGCTACTTGGGACATCAACACATTTCTTATAATACTTAAAATTTCTTATAAAACTTATCTTCTATTTCATTTTAATTTCAACCCCCACACTCCATTGTCAGTCCTTTCATTATAACGTTAAGCCTTTTAAATTTCATTGCATGTTTGTTCATTTGTTTCAATAAAACACCTTTTGTAATTCGTATATCTTTGTTAACTTATTAACTTTAAACATTTATAGAATAGGCCTAGCCTAAATGAATATTGTGAGGTGAGTTTACAAGTTCGGGAAGTAAACATTTCATATAAAAGGTTTCAAGTTTTTCTTTCATGTTTACTTCCCAAAAGTCATCGTCCCGATCAATTTTTACAGTTTTTAGACCTTTTGGTGTCCAAATGGCAAGTTTCCTCCCAACCTTTCGAAATTAGTTCTTCATGTTTGTCATACGTTTTCCGGTTCATGGCACGAACATTCATTGCAGACAGCAGCCGTTCTAAGGCGACAAATCCTCCACCATTGGTAATAGAACCGGCTACTGCTGCACTGTTTATGTCCATTGACATTGCATTTCCCCGAGGTTCAGGCTCACTCCATATTGTCTGTTTGATGTGGCACATGTTGCAATCAAACACAAACCCACTCCTAAGCCCTCTTTTTATTTCACTAACTAATTTCAGGTTTCTGAGGGAACAGCCGAATTGAGGCGCATGTTTAGTTGGACAAATTGATCAACTAAATAACAAATGTCAACTATTCTACGACCGGTATTATCACAGTTGCCCAAACAGTCAGTAGGATCAGATGATAGCGTGGAATTGTCTACAAAGCCCAGGCGCATATTGTATTGAGATGTGTGGCACGATCATGGCAGTGCAGCACAGCACAGGGCGGAATTGGGCAAAAAGTCTGTGTTGCACAGTTGACATCGCATATTGGGAAGCAGTGTCGTACAGTTCTCGTATAGGAGTGTCACAGTTTCTTGTGTTAACATATTGTTAAATTTAGGATTTCAGTTCTAAGTCAGATTCAGGTGCTTATCTAGATTTATTGTTACTTCTTCACCAGAGAACAAGAAAGAAAGGGCGAAAAATGTTTACAATATTGAGTAATTTTCGTATTTTCTGCCAGATTTTATTCTTGTAATTACTCTTTATTTACTTACTATGACTGGTAACATAAAAACTGGATAAAAACGCACAATTTCTATTAATTATCCTCTAGATCCGTCACAAAACACTAGTCAACCCGGTGCAGGTGAGCAATGCGGCACAGACACTTGTGACTCGACCACAAGTGCGCGCAGTCCAAGTGTGGGGCTGCACTGCCCTGCCCTGCGCTGCGCCATAATATGCGCGTTTCCTAGCGAACATGTGGTTTACAAAACACTGCCCTGCGCGGCACTACGCTGCGCTGCTCCGACTGCGTCTCAATATGCGCCGGGCCTTTGAGGTAACAAATTTCCATCCTCTTCCCCACAGCTCATCGCCTCATCAGCAATCAGCTCCTCGACATCACTACTTAGTTTTCTTTTTCTACTTCCCACAACACCAAAATCTCTCAATACTCTCCACTCAGCCAACCTTTCACCACCTCTGTTTTTCGCCTTTCTTCGCAACGGTCGTTTTTTATTTCCTATAATACCACACCCGTAAATAAAAAGAAGCACACGAAATGACTTTCTACATTTGTAAGTAAGTGGAACTACGAATTATTACTAGGGAACTCTAAACGTCACTGGACTTGTGGACACAGCAGACCAAATAGGATGCTAGCCTAGAACATAACCTCACAGTTCACAATAATGTCTAGGATGGATTTGGCGCGTTTTTTCAACATTATCACGTGACTTGCGAAAATGAGAAATACAAGGTGTAGGGGTGGGGCGAGTGCAATGTGTCTCGTGGTTACAGTGTGTAAGGCCGAGACGTCGGCCAAGGTGGGAGGGGGTAGCTATCTATGCTGTGATTGACCTAGAGGATTAGGAGATTTCCTTCCCTACAGATAACATCTTGTCTCGGTGGTGTAGTGGTTAGCGCACCGGAGAAACGTTTCAATTAAAGGTTACCGGTTCAAAACCTCAGGAGGCACCAACTTTTTGATTTGATTTCTTCATTATCGTTATAGTTTATAGTTTGGATAGGTTATGACGGTTTGATTTTATAATTATAAATTATGTAATTGAATTTTAGGCATTTAAAATTTTATTTTATAAACAGAACAATTTTTTAGACCAGCAGACTAATTCTTTCAAAAATACATCTGTAAATATTAGTTAAATTATGAAATTTGCCCGTTATCACATGAAACGAATATAATTTAATGCCTCAAATGTATATATTGTATTAAAAGATTTTATACTGTATTCCTACTAAACTGTATCTCGTTTCCAATCATTGCGTGGGACAGGAAGGCTCTGGCATATCATTTATGTTGATTGTACACATGTTGGTTTTGTACTTATATCAGTAGCCTATAGAACTAAGAAATAGTATTTGATAAATTTACAACATATTTTATACGTGTATTCAAATTTATAATGTATTCAACACTACACCATTTCTTACTGTCCCCACCCCAGTTAATTTCCTTTCATTCAATAACTATAACTATGACAACAATAATCATAACAATAATTTCGTAACAATATTTGTTTCACATTAAATAAAAAAAGCTATAAAATTAGCAGCGCATGATGAATGTAGAATCATAATAACCTGATTTGAACTCCCGCCAAATGCGCGAGCGTGCTGCTATCTCACGGAGATCTGCCAGACTACTACGCCGAATTACCGCCGCGATGCGCAGCAAAAACATGCATTTTCTTAAACCATATCAAGTGCACAGTTTACGTCGGATCTTCTTGAAACAAACTTTATTCGATAGATAATTAAATTTTGTAGGGGGTTTGCTTTTTCGAATTTCAAATATTCCTTTAGAAAATCCTCCACAAATTTGTAAACTTAAACAAGCGTATTTTTGCTATAATTATTTTAATATTTCTTTAATCGAAAAAATAAAAAGCAAACCCCCTGTAGAATTGTATTCTCTTTCCAATGACACATCAAACGTAGTTCTATGTTAAAAAATAACGGCGCTATATGGTTCAAAAGATTACATTGTTCTTATGGGGCATCAATCCAATATGGCCGACTGCTACTGCCCACTCTTAAATATGGCATGTTTTGGAAAATTTTGCTGGAAATTATAATCTAATTTGGTTTAATGAAAATCAGCTGACATTTGCCAATGGATACGAGACACACAATCAAAGTAGGCAAGCTATATATCACGCAATATCTCATGGGGGACCCAGCAATTTGTACTTTTTACCGCGCGCTAATCAACAAAGTAACCGCCACTGCTCGGCACTCGCGGCTCGCAGTCGCAATACGCATCGTAGCCGAGGTTGTCTGCAGTGACAGACGACGGGCGCTCGCAGCGCAATCCTACGTTATCTAAGGGAACTAAAGGCGCTCGAGCGTCATCTAACATAACTACGTGGACCAGTCCATACACTAACGCAGAACCAGTGTATTGTTAACAAAGCGACCGCATAGTGTTCAATCTAGTAGAGGTGTATAGTCAATGATAATAGCTTTGCCAGCATATCTAAAAATATGCAAACCAACTTAAGAAGGTTTCAACTGACTACTATAGGATCCCCGTGCGTAGAACGGGCACACAGCTAGTCATGTATACATGAGGTCACTTTTTTAAGATAGTTTGAATTTTACTGAAGTCTGTTATTCTGTCTATGAGTTGTTTGTATTGAGATGAAAAGTATAGTTCATAACTTGACAGGAAAGTAATTTTCCGGGACTTGCTCCAATTATTGCCATGATCTGCTTCCCGTAGTAAATGAAAACAACTCGCACGACTATTCCTGTGAATCAAATTTGTTGTCCCTGTGTTCCGGGGCGGCTCCAGGAATAATTTTTTTGGTAGGCCTGACAAGGATCAAGAAAGAGTTTGATCGGGGAACAAGATGTTTGAAGGCTTTCCCCGAAAAAAAGGGGGAACTTTAAAATTTAAATACAAATAATTTCCAAAAAAATACTTTCCCTTTATTTACATAGTTAAATTTAATTTCATATGGTTAAATTTATTTACATATAGTTGAACTTATTTACATATAGTTAAATTTATTTATAATTTTGAAATATCTACCAAAATGTTGGGTAGGCCAGGGCCTACCTGGCCTGCCCTCTGGAGTCGCCCCTGTCTGTGTTCAGCTTTGCCTGGCTAGTTAAAATGGAGTATGCAGCGAAAAATGCCACTTTCGGTACACATATGAAAACCATTCTTTTTCCCAAGATAAGATTACTTTCTAAGAACAACCTTACCTCTCTGCTACGGATTTCACTGCTTTTGCCATCATAAAATTGATTAAAGATCTTTAATTTAGACTCCAAGTGAGATCTGAAACAAAAAAGTCCTTTTAGAATTGAAAAAACCAAATTCATTACGATTAGATAACCTCAGACCAATTAGCCTTCTTTCTGTTTTTTCTAAATTGATTGAAAAATTAATGTTATTAAGATTGACAAATTTTCTGAACAAATTACATTTTTTAGCCATAAGCAGTTTGGATTTATAAAAGGCAGATCAACGGAAAGTGCATTATTAACTGTGACAGAGTTAATATTTAATGGCTTTAATTCAAATAAAAAAACCACAGGTCTCTTCGTAGATTTCAAAAAAGCTTTCGACATGGTCAACCATGAGATTCTTATCAATAAGCTAGAGGCTGCAGGAATTAGAGGCATAGCTTTAAATTGGTTTCGTAGTTTTATTACAGGAAGAAAGCAGCAAGTTAAAATCAACAACAACATTAGCGATTCACTCATTGTTCAGACGGGTGTTCCCCAAGGGTCAACGACCTCTGCAACCCTGTTCCTAATATTCATTAACGATCTTCTTGAACTTGATTTTAAAGGAAATATAAATGCTTTTGCAGACGACATTGCTCTTTTTTACACTCAAAATGATACTGTTCTCCTTTCAGATTCAATCAACTACGATCTTTTATTACTCAGAAAATGGTGCCCCATAAACAAAATGCAAGTAAATGTTAGTAAGACAAAATATGTTAATTTTGACTTCTTTGGTTTTGACACCCCTTCTCCTTTAATTTTTCATTCCCCTACCTGCAATATCCACTTATGTACCTGCCAACCATTAGAAAAAGTTAAATCGATTAAATACTAGGGAGTTTTGCTTGATGAAAAACTAACTTTTGAACACCATGTTTTAGAACTACACTCAAAATTAAGATCACAAATTAGAAAATTCTATTTTCTACGAAACTTTTGTAACACTTCACTTTTACAAACACTTTATTTTGCATTGATAAATTCAAGATTACAATATGCCTTGCCTTGCTGGGGAGGTACTTACAAAACATTATTAGAGAAGATTAGAACAACTCAAAATTTTTTCTTGCGAATAATTCTCAAAAAACCTAAACGAACTAGCTCTTTTGGGTCCGCGGAATTGGCTAACTCTGGAACTCGCTAACCCCATGTTAAACGCCCTATCTTCAAATTTGGTCGATGAGAGGAACTCGCTAACTTGTTCGGTTTCGGAATTGGCTAACTCCGGAACCCGCTAACCCGCTCTAGAGCCGGGTTAGCGAATTCCGTCCTCGTACGGAAGTCGCTAACTCGGTCCCTCGGCGGAACTCGCTAACTCCCAATCAGAAGCCTCGCGGGCCGTCCAATGGGAGCCAAGGACGAATATTTTTGGCCAGTGCTGCTGAAAGTGTAGTACCTATATCGTATCGGTACCATAATGTCGTATCCTACGATTAATTAGGAGTAAGAGCAACGTAGCGATAAAATAAATATATTTGGAAGTATGTTTTAACATTATTCTTATGATTATTAGGGTGGAAAATGCATTATAGTCTTGCCATAGACTAACCAAAACAAGTAAACTTTACATCCCATTGTAAACTTTGAAGCTCGTTTTTCGTGTCTAGTTCATGTCCGGTGACACTGATCGCTAGTGTCGACAAAATTGTGTTTCTATTATTTGATAGTTAACTTCATGATTTGTTCTTTACTGTTTGGTTGTATAACTAGGGGACGTGTTATTAGATGTGATTAGAACGTTTTATTTGGTTAAACCATAGATAAAAAATACTATGGTTAAACGAAGTTTTTAATGACTGAAAACAAGAAACAATTGTATACAAAACACGACCTCTAAAGACAGTGCACCGGACAGAACTAACAATAAAACTGTCTTCAGCTGATCCATAAGGATGAGAAATCATACTAATATTATAAATGTGAAAGTTTGTGTGTTTGTTTGTTTGTTTGAAGTTCAATCACGCTTTAACTACTGGATGGATTGGGCTGAAATTTGGCATAATGATAGCTCACATTCCCGATTAACATATAAGCCTATTCTTATCTCAAAAGTCCTTCCGTACTCCGCCCCAGTGGCTCTATGGATCCCTATGTTAACCTTATGAGTATTCACATTTAAAAGGAATTAAAAAAATTAGTCAGCTGTTTCAACTAAACAAGTTGATTCTATGATATGCAATAGCATTAAAACGTTATAAGGTTTACCAACAGGGTACAACACGATTAGGCCATTTTTTGTTTGAATTTTTGACAATAGCTCATTGAACTAAGCAGCAACAAAAGCTGTGATACGCAATGAGAACTATCAAAGTAGGATTGTTTACAGTTATTTTTAGGCCTATATGACCATTTAATGAATCATTTGTGATATTGTGCAAAGGTTTGATGATTTGTTTTCTATTGTTTAGGTGCAGTAGTAGAGCATTATGGCTATGGTAAATGTGTTATACTATAGCATACCGTAAACTTCAAGAACCAAATTTTATCAAACTGTGTCGTCCCCCATTGCAAACACAAAGCTTGAGTATGACTGCAATAAACATTTTACACTTATATACCAACCCCGTACGAAGGACGGGTACTCTGCTAGTGTACTAATATAAGGGAGTATGTGTTATATGTGGGTTTCTTACTTAAATAGTAGTTTTTTGGTATGCAAAAAGATAAAAATGCACATTTAATTTGGATCTATTTCATGTTATGAAATATCTATTTTCGTAGTCCGCCATTTGTTTCTTTTATTCGAATAAATACCATTTTGTGAACTTCTGCAAATAAAATTATTGAGTTCGCATTTTATATACTGGGCTTGTAACCTTGAATCATAAATCATAATACAATTTACACGTTAAACGTCATTACAGAATTACATTGTATTGGTAATGTATTTTTAAATAGAGCTATTGAATTTAAATAAATATTTATCAATACATTATCAAGTGGTAGATGTATTCATGGATAGCATTAAAAATGAGTCTATGCATAAATACAACTTGCAAATTTCTTTTATCATAGGCTATTATCGTGTAGAACCCGGGTTATCCTCTTAATTTTGTTGAATTAATATTAATTTTACGTCTTTCAGTAGGCCTATTTTTTAAAAGTCTAGAGTTTTTCTCCAGGCTGGTTCTAAATGGACCCAAGCGTTCTTGTTTGTTACAATTCTTATGAATGGTGGCCATAGCTAAAATTACTTGATCTTATCCAAAAACAAAGCTATTGTCTATTGTGTAGCTCAGTACCGGTGAACGGTGAACCGAGCAATGGCTTGGTATCGTTTATATAGTTTGTGAAAGCAATAAAGGAAACCCAACACTCAAATCAGGAAAATCAGTCAATTCGTTTATTAAGAATCGTGAATTAAAATAACCCTGTCACGTTTTATTATATGAATATTATATCTTCTCCTATTTCTTACTAGTGGTGCTTAGGTGTAGGCCTACAATCTAAAAACTGTTTTAAAACATGTAACATTATTGCTAAAAAAATCAACACATTTTAGAATTAGGCAACTATTTACTAGTAGGCCTACAATGCTTTGGTTCAAACTATTAGGCCTAGATAAAAACTTAGTCTATGTCATCATATTTGTACACGTAAGTTGGACGGTTCAACGACGAACATTTGATTTTAAATCTATGAATTAGTTATGAAAGTTACGATAGTTGATGACTGTATTAATTAATGGGTTTGGTTTATTACGACATTACGATTAAATCTGTTTTCCGTGTTTGAGATCTTGCGTGTATTTTAGCTTAATTTCGTAGGGGTCTAATTATTTAGTACCAATTAAACTGAATTTTCATTATTTTTCATATTCTATTATTTTCTTTTGTACTGATGGCATTTATTTTTAAGATCGAAATCATAAACATTTAACTGGCCATTGTACAGTTAAATAAATAAACACTTTTTCATGATTTTTCAATTGTCTTTGAATTACTTTGAACTAGTTATCTGTTAAAAGTGGAATTGATAACAAAAAACAATAACATTTACTGTATTTTCATTGACACTGACATTTTGAAATACGGCAGTGTACGATTATTTTGTCGTACAAGGTTGGCAACGCTCCTGCAGTGGGCGCGGCCGGGTTAGCGACTTCCAGAGTTAGCGAATTCCGCCGCAAGACAAAATCGCGTTAGCGGGTTCCGGAGTTAGCCAATTCCTGACTGAGACGGTTAGCCAGTTCCAGAGTTAGCCAGTTCCGACACACGACCGAGTTAGTGAGTTCCTGAGTTAGCCAATTCCTACGTCTCGCTCTTTTCCATTATACCAACAGTTATGCATTCTACCAGTTCAACATCTTTTTATTTTTAAAGTCCTGAGATTGTTCTTCATCCGGAGCGGAAACAGAGAAAATATAATTCCAAATCATCCTTACAGTACAAGAAGTTTTGCAAATAAATCTATCAAATTACCCAAAGTAAACAAAACTTTTTTCAGACATTCATTTCAATACTTGGGTCCAAAATTTTACAATCAGCTTCCGCTTCATATTAAAAATACAACAAATTTCAAACACTTTTGTAAAAGAACAATCACTTGGCTTAGTTCTCAACAGGATGTAGGTTATCTTGCCAACTCTTTGGTATAAGATTGTGTTAATGTTACCTTATTTTATGTGTATTTTGTTAACACTTTCTTAGTCTAAGTTTTGCCCAGATGTTACAGCAGGCGGATAAAATATTTGTCATCTGATGCTAGGCTCAACAATTTATTATTTATTATGTATGATTAACCTTTTAACTGGCCACACTACTTGAAAAAGTGACCAGTTTACATTTCTCAACAATTATTATGTTTGTAAAGTGTTTTGTATTATGGGAAATAAATTCATTTATTCATTTATTTATTCATTTAGCGAATTTCCCATATAGGGAATAAGCTATTACCATAGGTCTCATGGTAAGACCTAGACCCAGGACCGATTCACTTTTTTGTTTTGAGGTCCCCAGAGCCCGAAAACACCCTCCGTTTAAATTCATATATATATATATATATATATATATATATTTATATACAGTATGTATCCGTTAGCGAGATAACTCGAGCAAAATTGATCCGATTTTGATAAAATTTGGTACAAACGTGTAAACCAGCATTTACGAACGAGTTTGCAAACCAGCATGATCGGACTATGGGAACGGGGGTTTATAGGGTTTTTTATGGGGTAAAAATAAGTTTTTCAAATTTTTGACTCTAAAAACATAAAATTTTACAATTTCTTTCCAGACCATTTTGTAGAGCTTAAAAATGAAATAATTTTGTATATTGAAGCGTTGTTCTATGCCTAAAGCAGGGTTGCCACCAAAGTGAGATAAAAAAATTCATGCATAATTCAAGGTTTTCATTGGTAGTTTTGAAAAATTCATGGGGTATATGCTCGCACAATTTCACCATAAAAGAGTATTGCCTAGTTCAGAATTGTACATTAATTTATCGACAATATATAGTTTTGTGTGCTACTATAAAATAAAACACATTTCATGCAATTATTTTAGAGTGAAAAATAAGAATTTAATAAAATTTATCCAGTCTAAAAAAAGTAAAATCACAGATGAAAAAGGATATTTAATAAAAATCTTGTGTGTGATAATACAATGTAATTCTTAAAAAAAATTGAAACATCTGATTTAACAACATCATAACTTAGGCCTAATGATAAATTCAAACGTTAGAAGAAATAATAAATAAATAATAAGTCGGATTGGTAGTTAGGTATAGGCCTAACCTAAAAAACATTGCATCCAAACATTAAAGGTTTAACTTAGTTAATCCAGCAATGGCCTAGAACTTTACTGTCTAAACATCAAATTAAGATAATAGGCATAACGCATACCGATAATTAAGATAATAGGCATAATAAAAACAAATGTTAAGAACATGATCAAGAAACGGTTAACTTAGTAATGGGCCATATCTAGGCCTACTAAAACGCACATGCAATCTATTACTACTGTAACACAGTAGGCTAGCCTACATTGTAATCCAAAGCTGAATCTAGGCTAAGTTAGGCCTGAACCAACTTTTATTTATTGAGAAGATTAAAGGTTACCGACTGACTGATAAAAACACTCTAAAAAGGTAATATTATGTAAATAAATATTTAGTTAAATAGTTAAATATTAGTGGATTAGTTAAATGTAAGTTTAAACATAGGCTAACTTTTAAGTAATAAAAAAATAATTAATTACATTACAGAAAAGGTTAAAATAAACTTAGTTTAGAAGGATGTTTCTTCCGATTGGATCAGTTTATATATTATCATTTGCCTACACAGGTTTAAATCACAGTTAAAACAATTATTTAATTAAATTTACATCTCATTAGTTAGATTCGTATTGACTGAAAACACCTATGCTTCTAACAAAACATTTACATTTACCAGCCTCAGAACGAAATCACCATTTTTCAGCACAACATTGACTTCTTGCAACTTAGGCCTAAATAAATAAACTTAAACTCACGTTGTAAACACATTTACTCAACACTGACAGTAGTTTGAAATACGACATATTTGACCAAACAAACACAGAAGACGATTAAGTTCCAGCCGGAGCAAGCCATTTTGACCTTTATGGCAAGGCAAGGTACTTCTTATTTTAACGTTGTAAAGTATCGGAAGTATGATATATCAGTAATAAAAAATATTTAATCTGAACACTTGTTCCACTGAGTGTTGGGTAATCAATTATAAGAAGCACAAAACGGAATCACGAGTGCAAAAAGTGATCTTACTGTCCAGTGTCCACCACTACTTCAAACGTTTGACAAGTTTCAGATCAGTTTAAAACTTTTAGGTTATGGTTATTCTGTATTTCCTTCCACACGAACACTAGAGTAGAGAGTAGAGAATGAGTCAATGAGTGAGAGCGAGCATCAATTCCGATTGTCGATGTTTTCGAAACATCGATGTCTTTTCTATCGATGTTCGAAGTTGTTTGTTTACATCGATGGTAGATTACCGAACCGATGATTTGGTTTGTTACATCGGTCTTTTAGGCCAAAAAAAGTAATGAAATACAGTATTGATGTTTTCCGTAACTGAATTGTATTGGTTTTAGGTTAATTGGCTGTTACAGTGCAGAGAACAGACGAGAAACTCGGAACAAACATCGATGTGATCGATGTTTTGGCTCCGAAAGCATCGATTTTATCGGTAGATCGGTACTCGGTAGAGATGGGCGTTATAACATAACAGGATGAATAACAGTGTTGCGGCCACGGCAACGTTATCGCGGCAACACGTTGCGGAGAACTCCCTGTTATTATAATAACGTATCTATCTACACAATGTTGCAGGAAAGCCGCGCGGACAACGAAAACGAAAACATGCATTGCCATTAGTGCCGTTGCCGTAACGCTACCAGAGCAACGATAACTTCTGAAACGAACTAGAATAACCACTGAGCTATAATTCTAACTGGAGGTAGCACCATTAGTCAATGGTAGCACTGAATGTCAAAGATGCGTGTCGCCAGCCGCCATGTTTGCGTGAGGTGTGAGTTATAAAGAAGCCATGTTATTGGATGAAAAAACTCACTGCCATACAAACCTAGTTATAGAAGCCATGTCATTGGATGAAAAGACTCACTGCTATACCAACCTAACAAAATTAGCGACACGCTTTTGACAGACTTCTGCCATGGCAGTGCTACCTCCAGTTATAATTTTAGCTCAGTGAGAATAACGCATCCTGTCTGGGCCACGCCCGACTCGCGCCCGACTCCCGACTCCCGACTACAACTGAAAACTGAACTGATCAACCGACAACGATAACTGAACGCCGCAACACGTTATTGGGCAGCTGCGTTATCGTTATAACCGTTGCCGGAAAACAACGATAATTCTCATCTCTAGACTACTCGGCTGACGTCGGTTACGATCGGATTTGACCTTGAATAAACTACGCAATCGTTTCTGTTCGTGGCATGGCAACAAAACTTTTTATCTTGACACTCCCACTTTGACGTTTTATCTCGGTGTTCATTTCGAGAATGGTTTTAATACGGAGTATTTGATTCAGCACATTTAGGGGTTTTGGCTGAATTATTAATAATGATTTTGAGAATTCATGGTCCAATGGCGAAATTCACGCATAATTCACGCACTTTTTCATGGTCACCTAAATTCACGCATAATTCACGCTTTTCAAGGTTTTCATGGCTGGTGGCAACCCTGCTAAAGGCTACGGAGATCGTTAAAAAAAACTTTAAATTTAAAATTCACATGTTATTTTTATGGAGAATAAACAAACTGTTGTGGTTTGCTTGTTTATGGATATATTTTCATCAAATTTGGCAATTTTGTTTATTTAATACTAATCTATCAACATTTCAATGAAAAACACACCTCAATATCTTCCCTGTAGCAGCCATCCTAGGTACTCATTAAAATTCATGTTATTTAAACAGGAAATAAATCTGACAATTTTCCGGGAATATTTTATTAGAAATCCAGCCAGGTAAATGGAAATATGGACATATGCTTAGTCTGCAGGTTTGCTGCGACGAGGGTATTTTAACTAGTTAGAACAATGAAATATATTAAGGTTTTGTAAATAGACTTTTATAAGCTGGAGTTGGCTTATCAATACTAAAAATACCATTTAGCAGAATCTCCATATTTCAGGTTAAGTGATCAGAGGAGATGCCTCAATTTTTAAGGTAGCCTGTGCGGTGATAAGAAATTGTTTAAGTAGGCCTGCAAAGATAGGCATGTTTTATTAAACTTAATGTTTTAAGATGTTTAGCTTCTAATTTTGAAGTGATAATGTCCTTTTAACGCTTGATCATGACTCCATGAAAGTGAGCCAAAACTAGTTGCTATAGCAACCAATCAGATTACCAATAATATAGGTATTTAAAAAACTTAAGAGTATATCTTGGTAGGAGTCTACCCATCTTGAAAAATGAAATATACAATAAATTATGTTTTACAAAGACTTCATATTTGACTAAGTGTATTATTCAATGACTAACCTGGGCATATTAGGCGCGGCAGATTTATTTTCAACTTTTCCAAAACTTGTGTGGGATTCAACTCTAGTCCCATGGCCGAACAGTTGAGGTCCAAATAGAGCCCCATAGCACGGGACATGGCAGTAAGGCACTCCTTTATGCTGTAATCATTGACAGAATTAAATAATATCCAGAATAAAAGTCAACACATAGCCTGAGCTAAGTAGTTTTTTTTTTTTTAATAGGGAAAATACTTTTTCTTTCTAATACTGTATATAAACAAAAAAAGATGTACAGTATTGAGCTTAGTAGTAAACTTTGTATTTTTACCGTTTTCTGCTAAAGGGGATATAAGATAAAAAAGAAGAGTTTTTTTTTTAAGTACCATAGTATAGATTATGAGCAGCAGTACCGCATTTCCCATTAGGCCCACTAGGCCCAGGCCTAGGGCGCCAAATTTTAGGGGGCGCAAAATATTCAACTTCTTAAATGAATCCCACGAACGCATCCACGCGTCAGACCGGTAGCCCTGCTACCAGCCCACTGACGCGCGGGCCCGTCCGAGACCGAGTGTAGTTTGAATTTGCCGCATTTAGTAAGCAAATAGATGAAGAAGAAATAAGGGTTGCCTTGTTTGGTACTGCAGTGTTGGGAATAACCTGCTTTTCAATATTGATATTTCGTTTTGCTGTTGTCCCAACGACATCCCTGCAGCGACTGCCAAAAGTCAGCTATGTTATTCTCTCCAGTTTACTTAACCTGTTGTGTTTTTCTGTTTATGTTTAGTTAGTAAAAAATGTCGAATTATGCCGATATTTCACTTAGAGATAATGAAATAGGTGTAATCTTTTCATCAATTATATTTGCACACCGGTATTATGTATCGTGATGGAATTATTTCTGATTTTGAATGTTGTTCGTCATAAACGTATTTTGTGTTGTTTATGTTAAATAAAAATACTAAAAACTCAAACTTTTCAAGTTATTTCACACCATCCAAATAAAATTTTGACCATAACAATTATTATTTACTTAAAACTGGTGGATACCAGTACATATAGGCCTATATTTTTTACAATACAATATGGTACGGTATTGTAAATGTTCCACTCCTACATTTTACAAGATTGGGATCTTCTGAGGGAAGGTATTTATCATTGTTCAGTTAATCTCATTAGAGGTATAGTATTATAGGCATATATACATTTTAAAGGAATTGATTTATTGAAAGTATCAACGGATTATCCTTGTATATGCTACTCAATGACAATGATTGTGACATTATTTACGTTTTCTGACCAATATTACGGCCGGGAGGGCGCAACTGTTTTCTGGGCCTAGGGGCGCCGTTTGGCTAAATGCGGCCCTGATGAGCAGCAGGCTAGAGATAACATTTGTAATGGGTTAATGCTACTGTATTGAGTTAAATTTTAAAACGTAATACAGTAGAACCTTGATTAACTGGGGCGGATCAACCGGGCGGAGGATCGACCGGGGGTTTAATAGATGCCTCTCAAATTATGTTACTTAACCTCAAAAAATCCCAACAAAATCTTATAAATTAATTGTTTTTCTTCAATCTAATATATTAAAATTAACTGTACATTTAACTATTTCTGACCATTTTTATATGCAGTAGGTTCCCCTATTATTGTTTTTGAAATGTCACAGTTCATCTGACAAAAATAAATGGAAGCAAAACAAAGAAAAAATGCAATGACTGAAAAAGTGAGGCTAACTTGATACAGCACTGACTGTTAGTGATCCTAAATAATTACTTTTCAAAATTTTTAAAAAGTTTTATGTTAAAAATTTTATTGTATAATCAAGTCTTACCAATTTATTGCAAATTGAATGTATAGACTGAAGTTTTTTAGTGAAAAGTTTATTTTAGAAGCATAAAAACAACACCACATAACCTACAGTTATTTTAAAACGTTTTTATTAGCTCGCTTTCTTGTCCGGTACAAATTTTGCAATCAATTTTATACTAACTTCCCGATGATTTAGAGACATGAAACTTGAAACATAGCTCACAAATGGAAGACAATGCAATACTAGATCATTTAATTTTCATATTTCCCTTGGGCTACGCCCTATGGGCTTGTTTTATTAATTCGCTTTCTTGCAAATTTTGATACTTCCCAAAGAGCTAGAGACGTGAAACTTAAAAACATAGCTAACAAATGGATGACAATGCAATATTATATAATTTAATTTTCATATTTCCCTTGGGCTACGCCCCATGAGCTTGTTTTTGTTAGCTAGCTTTCCTACAAATTTTGATTTTAATTTTAAACTAAGCTCTTTCAAAGAATCAAAATATCCAGGCCTAGGCCTAATTATTTAGGAGGGCCTAAAACTGAGTAACAAACAATGAGGTTATAATATCAGCAAAGTCACTACAATATCACCATTCTAGTTCATAAGATTTAGATTGCTTAAAGCATACAACGCAATAAATTAATATGGGAAATAAAAAAAATTGAAACCTGAACGCCAACAATGTACAAAGATACAGAAAATGCAATGACATAATTTGAAACTAAGTAGGCCTACGTAGTGATAAAAAATTAATGCAAACAACAATGCTTGTGGTTTTGTCAATTGAAAGATAAAATATCCATAAAAAAAGGTTTAACTTACAAAATAAGACTGTAGATTAGTTACATGTTTTATATGAAACCATAAACAGTTTTATGGCACTAGGCAATGGCCAGCGCCAAATTGAATCTTCAAGCCGAAAGTACAAGTAAGAAGTGAAATTTAACAGCCATTATAAAACTATTATTTCCATGATAAAATATGTTTGGGATCTAATAATGATTACTCCAGTAATAAATAAAGAAGTTGTAAAGGAATAAAAGTGATACAACTTTTATGAGCTAAGCTACTACTGAGTCAACAGTTCTTGGAAGTACTTGACTTGACACTTGATTGTGATAAAATATTAATGGGTTTGAGACTGCTAATGGGGTTTTTATTGCATAATTACCCTAGAAATAAATTATGAAAATGTAAACAAACATCTGATAAACCTTTTATGTGCTCCGAACCAACTAGCGATCGATAAAATTATGGCCCATTAAAAATTTAAGGACATAGTCTGGCATTTAAAAAAATTAAGTACAATTCCTGGTTTTCCCGGATTTCCCGGTTGGTAGACACCCTGTACTTCCACATCGAAGTCTGTTCCATTTTGACTGCGAGAGTGTACACGGTTACCTCGCATAAGCTCTCGCCCGAATTACTCGGCGAGAGTGTACGGGGGCATAATAAAATCACTAACTTAAAATATATTCATTTTACTGTAGCTGATATATTGCCAGGTTTTACATTGTGCTGAGTATGCAGGTTTGCTGCAACTGGGGTATTTTAAACAAATATCTGTTTACTATAACCACATAAAGCCAAATACCAAGTTTCATCAAAATATATTCATAAATAAGCTTCATATGTAATTTTATGTATTCTCCATAAGAATAACATAGGACAACGTATCCATAAGAATAGCATGAGGAATTTTAAGGTAATTATTTTACATTTTCTCCGCAACTATCTAACCTACGCTGATGATCAAAGAAACTAAATTGTTTGTTTTTTTAAGCTCTTTAACATGGAATAAGTCCTAATTACATCATTCAAAGATTTTGTTGTAAAAAATGCAAAAACCCGATTTTTGAAAAATGTTAACTCCCATAAAACAAGTCGTGCTATCGCATCCGATGGTACGATCATTCTGATTTTTGAGTTCAAGCTCACTGATGCTATCCTACACATTTGTGCCAAATATCATTAAAATCGGACGTTTTTTGACAATTTTATCTTACTTCTATTGTATTATGTCCATACAGTAGCGACCATTTCGAAAAATGGCCGGCACGGCCGCTAGGGGGCAGTTGCTTGATGGCTCTACATCTAAATTTGATCATATTACATTGTGCCAAATTTGGTGCTTTTATCATAAAGTGCACAATAATTTATAATATCCTAGCTAAACCGCCGTACTATAAGAGGATCATTTAGCATATAGTTTTTCCACTCACATTTTGTATTAATATGTGTATCAAGCAGGGTGGTTTTCCGAATTTTTTAAAGATTTCTAAAACAGTGCCTATTCACAAAAAAGGCAGCTGGGACTGTGTGCAAAATTTTAGGCCAGTGTCCATTTTGCCAATTTTGTCAAAGATTTTTGAGGCAGTATTAAAATCTCAATTGTACAGGTATTTTGAGTGCAACAATCTGTTGACGTCCTCCCAGTATGGTTTCCGCAGTAATCTATCGACAATTGATGCAATTGATTGTCTGGTACTGTAGCTAAAATTGTTGGGGGCTTTGAGGGGAACAGCTTTACTGGGGTTACTTTTAGTGATCTCAGTAAGGCTTTTGACACTGTCGATCTTGACACGTTGTTAATCAAGTTGAAGCACTATGGAGTCAAGGAGAACTCAATTGAGCTGCTGAGGTCGTACTTGGGAGGACGGCAGCAGATCATTCATGTGAATGGTATGAGGTCAACCTTAAGGGAAGTGAACCATGGAGTGCCTCAGGGGTCAGTGTTGGGGCCCCTCCTTTTTCTGATAAGTGTCAATGATATTACAGGTAATGTTGATGCAGGGATCGTCAGCTATGCTGACGATACCTCGCTGGTACTTACGGAACAAAATTTGTCAAAGCTGGAAACTGCCATGGGGCAATCATTGGATCAGGCTGCTGACTGGTTTAGGGCTAATTTCTTTCTTTTAAATGAAGACAAAACTGAGTCAGTAATTTTTTCATTGAGAAATAACGAGGTAAATAGTGTTAAGATCCTAGGTATTGTGTTGGATAGTAGGCTAACTTGGGCTAGTCATATAGATCTAGTTTGTTGTAGGCTGTCTAGAATCCTATACTTGCTCAGAAACCTGAAAATGTGTGTGCCTAAAGATTTTTTTTTTTTTTTAAGAGGTTGGCGGCCTCTTTTAACCTTGCATTTGCCCGTCTACATAGACTAAGCACCCGTGCGTGGATCGTTTGCAGCAAAGCAAGGAGTGAGCCAGTACAGTACAAAGGTGAACTGTACTGATCAAATGTTATCGGCAGTGACCAGGATCCGAACCCACGACATCGCTGCCTTGGGCCCGAAGTCCGCGACGCTACCGACTGAGCCACCGACTCACTAAATTATGTCAAAACTGCTTACAAATCCCTTTTTGAAAGTGTAATTTTATATGGTTTGAGGCTATGAGGCAGTGCACCAGATGTAAAATGTGTATTACTACTGCAAAAGAAAGCAGTACGTCTGCTGGCCACAGATCATTGTAAGCCCATTTTTGTATCTGAGGGCTTGATGACATGTTTTAGCTTATATGTATTTGTGTGCCTATTAAATTAAAAAAGTAAGATAGACAATGTTAATTTGAGAGAGGATTTTCATGAGCATGACACTAGATCTAAGAACCTTTTTGATGTGCCATTTGTTAGATTAAGAAAAAGTCAAGTTCAAGTCTTTTTATTAAGTTTAAGATTTTTTAACAGACTCCCATATGAAGCCCGAAACCAGAATTTTTCAAAATTCAAAACCAACCTCAGAAACCTTTTATTGGCCAACCCACTGTAATGATCTTCCTGGTATGATTTTTTTTAATAAACCAGCAGCATCCGTAAGTACCTATTTTAAAGTTTTTACCTATTTTTAAGTTTTGACTCTTGATATGTGATATTTATTTGACTTGCATGTGTAATTAGACCTTGCATCTTTTAGTTTTTTAGTTGTGAACATACAGTGATTATTTATTATTATATATTTATTTATTTATTGTAGAATTTTTGAGAGTTTTGTGGAAGCATGTTGATTGATATTGAATTTGCCTTGTGAATGCCTTGTGATTATTATGCCTTGTTTAACTGACGATTCCAAATGCATGTAATTTGTCAAAAGGAAAATAAATATTCTTATTCTTAGCTAAAAGCAAAACAATAACAATAGATCAATACCTCTGCATGCTGTCCTGGATTCAATCGTTTACCACATTCTTCACAACGCAGACATTCCGGGTGCCAATCATAGCCCAAAGACTGTTTCCTCTCAGCTGAAACACAATAAAAGAGATTTCACTGAACCCTCTCACTGGCGCATGGTAGGCCTACACTCTATAGTGGCAAGGCAATTTGCCATTTTGCAGGCATATCTTTGCAAAATTCATATAAAATCAACCAATAGTGTAAACATATTGAGCCATATAGGTCTACTTGGTTTGTGTGAAATGTTTGGAAATTGCAAAACTATAAATAACTATTTAGAAAGGTGCATTTTTTAAAGAAAGTAAGTTTAAAGGTTTTTTTTAGTTGAAAGGATAATTTTGTTTCATGAACAGAAAGTTTTTTATGTAAAATTTAAGATATGCCTAACTTAAACAGCATGTTTCCCATTTATTTATCTACGTAAAATAGAAATGTAAAACATCTATATAAATAAAGTTACAGTTTTGTCTGTACATTGCTTAGAATCATGCAGTTTTTGGTTATTTTTACGTTTCATAGCCTAAGAAAGCCGAAATGAGTCTTATCTCAATTTCTGTCAGTATGTCTGTTTGTCCATTTTGTGACTCCGTCTGTAACGCCAAAATGTCATTTTACGCGGCCTACTCCTAGAAAACTAGAGTACCGATCAAGGTTCTAATCATTTTTATGTATTTACTGGATTGGTGAGAGTGTCTTTGGCTATAAAAACATGGCCTCGCTTCTTTGAAAACAAAATAACGAACCACCAAAAACCCAATTTTGTTCGATTTTTGTCAAATTTTCTCCCAATGTTTACTACTACATTTTATGAAATAACGATCAGCTGTTTGGATTAGTTCTCACTTCTAGCTGTCACTGATATGTTTACATTAAAAGTTGATTACAAATACCGCAACCATTTACGATAAAGTTTTGTCAGCACATCCAAACCAAGTGAGATTAAAAACGTTGTGCCTTACTTAACCGGTTTAATTAATCGCAAGTGCAACGATTGTTCTTGAGTTTTGATAACCGGGGGAAATACCGTGAATCAGTGTTGTATTAGTGCAAGGAAACTTACATTTTTTTAAACATCGTCACCAATACCGTAGCTTACAAAGGTTTCCACTCAATGGCGGCGCTTCAAGGACAGTTGTGTAAAGTACAAAGTAAAAAATCACAACTGCAGTGGGTGATCGTGGATGTTGCTGCGATATTGGAAGATCTTTCTGATTTCGCTGTGGTCGTAACAGAGGTTTAACTTACAGTTGTAGCTAAACTCGCTTTTCCAATGTGTCACTTTTGGTTTCTACTTACTAACATTTTGACAACGATATCGGTACTTTTCCTACTTATGAAGTAAAACTACAAACGAGAAAACTCCAAATTTGTGAGTTTTTTGCCACATTTCCTCCGAATGTTTGCTATAAGATATAAAGATATGAGATATATGTACTGAATATCGTTTAGAGATCACGTAATATTTTAAATAAGAAACCTTTGTTTGGATAAAGGTGGTTTCTTCAAACTGTCATTAATATGGTACCATTAAAAGTTGCTTACAAATAATGCTATTAATGGGAAATAACTTTGATTTTCAAAAACTTAAAAGAAATTTAAAACCAAGGGAGATTAATAACTTTGGTACTGCACCACATCAAGTGAAAGTTTTTTTGAGCAAACCATAGTGAGTTTTTTAAGCTTTACGTTGTTAACTTTATATGTTAGGCTACATGTTTTGTGGCCTGTGTATTTATTTATTTATATATTTGCCAACAGATTAACACCTATAATCAGTTTGATTAGAAGGACAGTTTGAATTAGTCGTAAGTACTACAGTTCTTTTCTCAAATGTAAACGTTGGTTTTTGGTACTACTACTTTTCCTTAGAACCGGTGGTGGCGCAGTAAGAATCATTTTTACATACAAACACATCACTATTTTCACTATATATTTATAAACACTGCACCTTATTGCTTATTAAATTTAATTGATGTCTTACTGTATAATTTTTAGCGTTTTCTGTCTAGACTCCAAAATGTTGTGTGGACTCAATTCTGTATTTGTGTGTGCATGTCTATTGGTAACGCATTAATGTCCTTATTTTTCGTAGAAAAGACAAGAGCACCATTGTTAACGAAAATTTTAACCCGAATAAGGTGTGCAGTTGTGAGGTTGAGGTAGTTTTTTTAACAACTTTTGACCAGTGTGAAAAGTAACTTTCAATTACAGGCCTACCTTAGGGCTATGCCTCATAGATCTATACTGTAAAGCAATTCTTTTCATCGTTAGATATAAAATATGGACTAACACGATCGGGTGACATTTAATTGCGAAGAATTCGTTTTGGCTTTGAAACTGTCAGATATTGTATTTGAGAAGGTTTATATATATTCCTAAACAGTTATAGTTTTGCCATCATATCTGGAAAAATGCACACTAAATATGTAAACCAACTCCTGTTCTGAATATAAGGTTTTAACTTACTACAAGATTCCCGTACGTAGAACAGGCAAACAGCTAGTCTAAAATACAATTGAGGATTATGGTAAAAATTTAAAATAAGAATAGGACGACTTGTTGTAGGCTAAGTGAAGAGGGAACATACTTTGTTTGGCAGTTTTGTGACACGTAGGCCTATATGGTGCAACTATTTTTTCTCAAAGCTTATGTTCACTTATTTGCTTGATCCGTTTGTGATATAAAGTTCATAAACTTATATGTAATAAAATAAAAGTTTGGAATCTTATCTTTCAATTGGTACCCATACAAATTAGGCCTATTCAATTTTACAATTGTTTTTTGACCATTTATTTGGAGTTTAAATAACCATGCAAAATGTTACTGTTACAGTCTCTGCCACTATAGACACTAACTACCATGACTATTATAGTTACACTGCCAGCTGAAGGAAAATTAATATAGGCCTACTACAGGAAAATAAGTCTTTTACTTTTTTTTACCAGCCTCCAAACTTACTAAGTTAGGCTTCCTCGATCTGTCACATAAAGGTGCAAACTGAGTTGCCACTAGATGTGACTAGAATGGGATGAGAACCCTCGATCTTCAGTGCTGCTTCTTGGACAGAGAGACAACATCTTAGACTAAGTTACTTGACTATTGTTCAGACCAAAATTAGACCTAGGATTGAACCACATCTAATAATAAGTTACTGCTAAACCCTAGAGCACAAGTTTTATTTAAAAAAAAACTTGTCCCCCAAGTAGTAGCAGAGTACTTGTTATGTAAAACACCCACTGTAAAGTTGAGCTTTAAAATTTTGGGTACACTTCCATATCTGTTGGCACAAACAACCAAATGAAAATATCGATCGATATATCGAATTAAACAATCGAATAATCAATATTACTCATTCGGTTATTTGTGCCAACAGATATGCAAGTGTATCCAAAATTTTTATTCTGGTGGCTGGTGCTTTTATACATCTTCAATTAAACTTGTAGTAGCTTACCTAGGGTTGCCAAATGGTAATTTCTAAAAAAGAGGAGATTTTAGCTGGCGGCCCACTACAGTGCATAGAAAAATTTACGGGCTAGAAAAATTGTATAAGTTACCTAAACAGCACAAATATTATAAAAGAAACGGTATAGGTCATACACATAAAAGAATTATGCTACTGGCCCGAAAGTAAACACGTTTTTATTTATATTTAAATGGAACTGTAAAAAACTGTCCTAACCAGTTGTTTATGCGACGTCATTTGTTTATTTTTATAGGCCTAACAAGACTAGGTTTGGACTGATTCTTTATAAGTTAACTAGCTGTACCCGCGGGCTTTGCCCCGTTTAACTTCTTAATTTTCAAGATGAGCTCGTTCGCATGGCTCAATCACGTCCTGGTTGAAGTTCGTTCGCTACGCTCACTCACCTTTACGGTTGGAGCTCGTTTGCTGCGCTCACTTGCCTTCAGGTTTGCTCGTTCGCTACGCTACCTCGCCTCCAGGTTGAAGTTCGTTCGCTACGCTCACTCACCTTTTAGTTTCAAATTAGCTGTTGTCATAAATTTAAAAAAAATAATAGTGCTGCACCCTGTTGGTAATCCTTGTAACTTTAATGCTATTGCACATCATAGAACAGAACCAACTTGTTTAATTGAAACAGCTGTTATGATTCATTAATTCCATTTAAATATGAGTACTCATAAGGTTAACATGGGAAACTCAAGAGCCACTGGGGCGGAGGCCGAGAGTCCGATCAGAATAAAAATAGCTTAGTTTTCCTATTTAATGCCTAAAGAATCAGTGTACCAAATTTCAGCCTCCTAGGTAAATGGGAAGTAAGAGAATTAGTGATGAGTGAGTCAGTCAGTCAGTGAGGGCTTTGCCTTTTATATATATAGATAAGGGTAATAGGTACCGGTACTACTAGGATTTCCCCGGAGATTACCGGATTTAGACGTTCAAAATTTAACTCCGGGGAATTTCTGCGAAAAGTGAGAAATCACTATTAAAATACATTGTGTAACGTAGTCACACTTTTGGAATTAAATAATCCATACCGTTTTTAAATTAATTAATTAAATAATCAATTAAATAATCCATCCAATAATCCATACCGTTTCTGTTCAATATTCGTGCTACAATGTCAATACTGTATTCAAATATGATACGCGAAAAAATAACATTTGCATCTAGCTTGTCACGTTTCACTAATAATAACGAATAACGTAAAAAAAATGCTCTCTGTCTGCTAGACTCGGTTCGGCTTTGGTAGTGAACACGGATAACTTTGAAATGGCCGGCAGACACGAATTGAAGTACTCTGTCCAATACAGACGATAAACTAAGGACGTTGCTGGCCAAACCAAAGTGAAACTAAGACTAAGGAATAAAAAAGTTAGTAAATAGAGAGTGTAGCGTCAGCTGATAACGTTGTCATAGCAACCAATTATGATTTGATTTAGTCTGGTTTTTGTTTTTCTCAGGATTGTACACAAAATTTAACTCTCTTATTAAACTAATTTTCTTTTACTTATTTGGTCGTATTTCATTTGATATATACAAACAACCACGACCAAAATGGTGACCCCGACTAAAACCGTTATCTAAAGACTTATTTTCTTTGAAGAG